GTCTATCTAGCCACCCATTTCTATCTATCTATCTATCTATCTATCTATCTATCTTTCTATCTTTGTCCCTATCTAGCATCAGTTGCTCCCCCTCAATTGGCCTAAGTTTGCTACTCTAAAAACAAAGAAGAAACAACCAGATGATCTATATGGCGCCTTCCAGCTCTGATGTTCTATGTCTAAGTAGTTCAATGTATAGAGAATAAGTTGAATAGAAATGTTTTAGTAGTTTAATGTCAAGTGTATTAATTATTATATGAATCACGTGTGGACACAAGAGTAAATGGCCAGTCCTATTTCAAGCTTATCACTCTAGAATTTTAAATTTCTCAGTCCCATCAATAATTCTTGCTGTTCTACAAGGTCATCAGTTCAAACTCCACTGTGTACTGTTAATGAGGACTTGAAAGAACAGAAGTAACTCCTTAACATTAACCTGACTTCTGTATAATTTACAACAAATGCATATTGATTCCTATAATGCATTAATAACATTATACTTTCCAGTCGTATAATGTGAAGTACTCTTTATCACTCTTTTTATAAACAGTGCAGATCAGAATGACTTAGAAATGCAGTTCCTGGTCCCAAAGAAGTAACAATTATGAACTTAAACAACCCCAGTCTCAACCCTTAGACTACGCAGTTGGAAAGTAATCCCAATGAACACCCACTACTTTGAGGCTGTTTCTGGCTAGAATGAAAGGAAAGGGAGGAGAAAACATTTTTAAAAACTCATGTGTGGTGTTATCTTGGATTTCTTCCATATTTCAAAAGATCTGTGGTTTTGTTAGTATGGATATTTCTGTCACCAATGTGAATCATAGCTTTTTGGAGACAGTACTTTATGAGCTGCAATGCCCCAAAACATTAACTCCCACTTAGAAAAGTCTTCTCCACATTTTCCTACCAGTGTTCTCGAAACCATTCCTTCCTTTCTATCTGAGCAGCTTGCCACACAAATCATTCCTTCCCCCCCCCACCCTTGCCCGCCATCTTTACTATCTCCTTATCCACTATCTCCTTTTGTGACTCTAACCAACTTAACAAACATGGCCTGGTCTCTCCTATTCTTAGAAAACCTTCACTCGCCCCTGGCATCTCTTAAATGTGTATGTTGTGTCTCTTCTCCCTTTCATAGTCGAAATCTTGAAAGGATTATGTACACTCATTTCTTCACCTTCCATTTACTTATGAGTCCCTCAGCAACTTTGCTTCCAACCTCACCTCTTAACTGAAACAGTTTTCCTTCAAAATTACCAATAGCCTTTACTTTAAAACTCATCTTTTTTTATTTCTCTTCAGGATTTGACTCTGCAAACCACTCCTTCCTCATGGATCTTTTCACCTCCAATGGCTGCTGTGAGGCTGCTCTGATCTGGCACTTCTTTTGCCTGTCTTCCTGCTTCTTTTTGGTTTCCTCTGAGGAGTCATCATCCATTTCCCTCCCATCAAACATGGCTGTCCTCCAAAGCTCTCTCATGAGCTTCCTTCCCTCTCTTAGCAACTCCCATGGATTCATTTGTCTTCATATAGATGCCTCTCAAATCTGTCTCTAACCTTACTCTCTTTCTCCTGAATTCTAGTGCCAATTCTGCCATCAATTGCCTGCCATGCATCTCCTATCCATGATGTCCCATAAGATTTATCATGTCCAGTCAACAAACGTTGTCCCTTTTACCCCTACAACATATCTCACATACTTCCTCTTCTCTCCCTCCACATGACCACCACCCTAAATCAGGCTGGACGACTGAAATGACTTCCTTATTGACCCCACTGCTTCCAGTGTTTCTTCCTTCTACTTCAACCTTCCAGATAGCTGAAAAATTAAGATTCCTAAATCACAGACAGGGTCTGACCATATCATTCTCCTGATAAAAAATTTTCAGTGGCTCCCCATTGCTTTTAGGATAAAATGCAAACTCCTTGGCCTAGAAGTTAAAGCACTCCATAATTTGATTTCCAACCACTTTTTCCATGTCTTCTACATTCCAACCACAGTGGCCTTCCAGGGATTCTCTGAACTTGATGTGCATCTCTTGACCACACTTTCACTGTGCTGTGCCCTCACTTTTGCTTCTTGGAATCCCTAGCTTTCTTCATGGCTCAGCTTAGGGGTCATCTTTCTTGAGCCCCTCAGTGGTTAGGCTCCTCTCCATTTTGAAATGATGTTGAATTTACATAACTATGAAATGATGTCCTCCCTACACACACACACACACACACACACACACACACACATACCAAGGATAATACAAGCTCCTAAAGGGCAGAGATTGTTCTGTTTTTATTTTGGGTCCCATGAACCCTGCACCATTCCTGCACTAAGCTCACACTCTTAAAAAGCTTGCCAAATTTTATTGGATGTTCTAGGCTGAACCTGGAATGACATATACAGTCGGCTACTTTTCCAGGTTGAGATTTCTCCATTATGGAATTTGTAAGGGAATATATCCCTCATATGAGGAAACTGTCATGTAGACACAGCACAAGAATGCCAGTAAAAGGCCTTGGCTACTCACATAACCATAACAGAGTATGGGAAATCAACAACCAGAATGTGAAATTCGGTTGTTGATTTTTTATGATTTCGTTGGGAGTTCCTTGTGAGGAACATCTTTTGCCCACGCCAGCAGCATCTTCTCCACAATGTTGCTTCCCCCATTAGATTGGGAGCTCCTTGAAGGCAGGGGCCATATTTTTTGTTTTTCTTTGTATCCCCAGCACTTAGCACAGTGCCTGATACTTGGTATGTGCTTAACAAATGCTAGTTGACTGACTGATTTTCTGACTGGAGAGTAGCTGGGGCCAGGAGAAGTTATGTAATGCACCCAGAGTCACACAGTCAGAAGGGGAAACACTCCAGGGAGGGGAAATTCAATTAACTGGCATTGTTCAGCACTACTCTTTTAAGAGCTTGAATAAAGCAATGAACAAATAGTTCATACTTATATCGATACTTCAAAGATCTCATCCTTCTTTAGCCCTCTGCATCATTTGACACTATTGATCTTCTCTCCTGGATACTCTCTCTCCTCTCTAGGTTTTCATGACACCATCCTACTATTAATAAACCCCAATGTTCCTTATTGCCTCTAGGATTAAACAGAATTTCCTCTGCTTAGCTATTCAATTTTTTAATATTTTATTCCTTTTCCTGGTCCTCATCCCATCTCCCATCTCCAAGCCTTTGCAATGGATGCCTGCCATGACTGGACTGCCCTCCCTCCTCACCTCCACCTCTCAGAAGCCCTTGCTTAAAAACTTTGCTTAATCAGCACCTTCTACATGAGCCCTTTTATGACTCAACCACCCCAATCCACCTTGTTTTTATTTGTCTACATGGTGTATTTTATTTCACATATCTCATATACTTATTTCCATACATTTCACATATATTTTGCATACACTTATTATGTTCATTCTGTCTCTTGCAATAGAACATAAACTCCCTGCAGACAGTAACTATTCCATCTTTGTCTTTGGATCTCCATCACCTGGCACAGCGCCTGGTGCATAGTATGTACTTAATGAATACTTGTTGACCACCACTAACATCATTGACAGATTTCTGTCAGTACCCTTCAGATACTGTTCATTAACCTAGGTTATGACTCGCTACTGTACATCACAGATAAGCCCCTGCCTCTTTTCTGCTGTCTAGACAGTGCTTCCAAGCCCTCTCTGTTAGGCCAGTTGATCTATGGAGCAGGAAGGCTGAAGTTGTTACTGATACCCCTAATGAGGGCACCTGCCTCTCAGAGACTGCTAGTAGGCAACAGATAAAAGCAGGGAGAACTTCATTTTTGGGGGGCTGATGTTGAGGCTGGTTCATTATTCTGCTGTTTCTTGACAGGAAGTACAGTAAGAAAGCTATGAAGCAATGCAACATTGGGGTGGAATGGGCTCTAGGGAATTGGTGCTCCCGAGTGACTTTCCCTATGTGTTTATGTGTGTGTTAATTTGTGTTGTATACCCCTTGGGAATTCCTGGGCATTGTACTGAAGCAAGGGCTAATTTGTAATCTGTAGCAACAGGTTGTCAAACACTGACTGAGGTGAAGAGACAGAGATTTGCTAGCTGCCTAAAGTCTGAGGACACAGAGAACATAGGACGGTTTGGAGAATGGGAACTCCACATCCTGAGATCAGTGACAGCCGCATTCCTGAGGCCTTGCCCAAATGCCTGGTTGAGCTGGTGTCAAAAGTGATGGGATCCTGGCAATCAGAGGTCAGAGGATTCTGGCAGTCTAGGTCTACTCCCAGCTTCCTGTGACTCTACTCTTCTGGCATTTCAGCTAGACGGGTCAGGATAAATGTTCAGAATAACAATCTTGAAGCACAGTAAGAACAACAGTTAGCAAAGATTAATTCATCAGGAATACTCTGCTCCTCCACTGAAGCCCTACTCCAATGGCTACCTATGGTGTGGAGGTGACCTGATGAACTTGAAGGTTATACCAATGGACCATACACTGTAACAGGCTCTACCAAGGTAAAAGCTGGAACAGAAAGTATGGGCCTGGTGGTCAACTGTGGGTCTGTCCTCCAAGGAGCAAACTGGCTAAGTTCCTAGAGATTCATCCCCTTGTCCTAGCCTGCCATTCCTCCATATCCCACCAGGATCTCTCCCTGCCCCCAATCTTTCTTCTAATTTTCTTTCTTCTAATTTCCCCTTTTCCTGTCTCCCTCCCATCTGGATACCAACCCCTCCTCCCCACCCATGAGGAATTCTAAAGGTCTACACCAACCCTCAGGCTCACTCCTCCCTACTCAACCATTGTGGGTACCAGTCAAGGAAGCTGTAGGGGGGATTCCTGCCCAGGTGAGAGTTGGAATGGATGTCCCTCCACCCCAGGAGATCTTCCTGCTCTGGCCTTGTAGGATTCTAAAAACCTTCTGAAAGCAGAAGCCTTTCCAAGTAGATACAGATCAATGATTATTGCAGGCCTAGAGGTTCTGCTACACTTTGGAGGAGAGGGAAACGTTTTTTCCTACCTGCTTTCCTGGCAGAGGGGATTTGGCACTCCTGTCATCTGTATTTTCAGCCACATTCTTATCATTGACATTCTCCTCTACTTGGAAGTTTGTATACACATGTATTTTGGTAGCGAGATCATCCTTTAGGCCCTCCACATCTTCTTCATCACTTCCCGGCTGGTTCTTCCATTGTTTCATCAGCTCCAGGACATTTGTGGGTCTAACAGGAGTCAGCGTGTTGCCCTAAGATTAACAGTTAATATTTAGTGCTTTAAATAATATGGATAAATATCACCTTATCTCATCTCATAGTACATATACTATTTACACTTATATATTTATGGGTACACACACACACACACA